ATTGAATTGAAAGCAAATGATTGTGTTTTTTTTTCTTTTTTCAAACAGTTTAATAATTTGTGGACACGTGTGCACCCTATTTTTAGCATTTTTTTTAGCCTGTTTGTGTAGCATAATTCATTTAAATATGCTATTTACACATTGATTGTTGGCATTTCTGTTGACATTTAATAATGCGTAAAAATATGTTTCATTGATTGTTTTAAGTGTTAAAATTAATGGCAAAATTTTTTATCATCTCATATGCTGACAATCAAATTGTATACATAGCAAAACTGTAATCTAAATATCTAATTCTTGATTACTTTGCAAAAGGGTTCGAAATGGATCATGAAAAGAAAAGAAAATAGTAAAATAGTACTCAATGACCACCAAACGTAATGTAAAAGTATTGGTATGATCAACCCTTCATGGGGTGGTCGAGTTGGTGGAGTAAGTAAGCGCGGAGGCCCTTAATCAGGAGTTCGATTTTCCTACCAACACTTTTTCGATCGAACTTGTCGCACGGGGCTTGCTTAGTGTGGTTTACCTGACTAGCGTGGTTTGTAGGCTATTGCGTTAGCCCAAGAGTTTACTCAGTTCGCACCCGAAGGGTAGCGGCTACGAATTCCCCCATAAAAAATAATAATAATAAGTATTGGGATGATCAGAATAGTTGTATTTCACTTGAATCTTGTTTGTCCGATATGTCCGATGTACTAGTACATGATTTTTGATTTGTAGTAGTTTACATTTATCGATAAAAAAAGTATTGATAGTTAATAATTACAAACGATTAAAACGTGTATAATTCATTAACAATTCAAATATAGAAGTTTTATTATTGATTCTTTGTGTTACTATAAATATGTACTTTACAAGTTATAATTGGAGTTGTATATAATTAGTTTGTGCGTGTATACTTGTAGCTATCAGTGCTGCATTATTACACATACAAAAGTTGATAACAAAGACAAGAAATGACTGGTACCACTTGACATGTCTGTCGACTAGCCCACGAGACACACACGTTTCTCTAAAAATTCTCTTCCTCGCTCTCTAATTTCTATGTCATTTATTGGTTTAGTTAAAAAATAATAATAATAATAATAAAGTAATAAAAAAAAAAATAAAAATCTAAGTTGATGAAGTGAATAAGTAATATTAATCATACATGGGATTCATTTTTATTAACTTTGCAAGAATATATTTCATTAATTTTTATCAAAATTTACTAACTCTATTCTAGATAATGATAGATAAATATTTGTTGCTTCACATAATTCCATGTCATATTAATGCCTCCATGCCACGTACCAATCTAACGTTGTCTATATCCTTCTTAAAGTTGTATATTTTTTTACAATCATGTTACGCATTCAAATTCAAATTCCGACTCAAATTCAAATGGGACATGTGTCGACACATGATTTGATGGTTTGAAAAATTAAAACAAAAATACCTAATTATTTTCTGACACATCAGTCTAACTCTTCACTCCCTATTTTTAAGCATAACTAAGTGGATATATTCTATTTTTTAATGCCAAAAGGATGATATTCTGGCTAAATTAAAAGAGAGCTTAACTAACTGGAGTAAATTCATGTTCTTAAATACGTTTGAATCTGTAATATTTTTTATATTTTTATTAAGGTAAAAACAGTTGACACTAATTGAAATTTTTGCAAGATACAAACAAAATAAATTTAAAATACGATCACACATAGTTTACGCTTAGAGCAATATAATTATCAGAAGAGATAAATTATTCCCCTCTCGTGAAGTAAAACAACAAGAACCATGAAATATGTGACAAGTAGTTTGCGTTTGGGGTAAGTTGGAAATTAGTCTTCAAAATTTGGCCAACATGGATCTACGCAATGAAGTTGAGAACGCGTATCTTTTGCAAAGTTAATAAGGGTTAATAGAACGTGGGGTCGAAAAATTGATAAAAATTGTTGATCCATGTAATGTGTGGTTAAATATGAATTTGAGGGCAAAAATGAGTTTAGAAAATAGAAATAAATAAGGACTAAATAACGCTTTGCAAGTGCAACCATCATCGTAACATTTTCATCTCGAATAGTACGTGCTAATCTAGGAGAGCATAGGCTACGGCTATCACCAACCCAATATAAGAGGGGGGGGGGGGGGGAAAAAAAAAAAAAAAAAAAAAAAAAAAAAAAAACCGCCGGGTGTTGACTCCATCCCTGATCTCGAACCACATCCCCATATGTACTAAGCCTGCATCCTTCCTCACCAAAGTATTCGCAAATCACAAACAACCCACGGAGGGAGGATTCCATCAAATTGGAGCCATAAATCTTAGAGTTGTGCTATTCGTGCAGACCCATTTGCACAGGGTCTGTACAGATGCTCTCACATGGGGGAGGACCCCACACATGGGGTCCACATGTGGGGTCCACCC